TTCATTAATTGCTTTTTGAACAAACATATCACAACCAATTTTTGTTCGTTTATGCATGGCTTGAATCATTTTGGATCTAGTTTCTGATTCGTATATTTTATCATCCATGTTCGCATAATGTGTACGGTGCAAAAAATAATATCACATTCTTGTTCACCTTTGCTAAGGCCCGAGAAGACTGTTATAATACTTTTTGCCTTTATACTGCTTTGATCCGCCAAAAAATAACGAGGTTTCCAGGTGCTACAAAATCGTCTAACAATAACTAATGCTGCTGCAACATTAACACTATTTTCGTTGCTAATGAAAAAATGTCCACCGATGTCCTAGCAGCCATACCTGTCTTGAACATATAGCGTAAATAAATGCCAGTCATATTTATTAGTCTTATGGGTTAAATCTATGAGGGTTAGCCATCCATACTGCTGAAGCTTTTCAAGTTGTTTTGGATGCACAAAAACAAAACCAAAGGTGGATTGGTGAGAAGTTTTATAAGATTCGACTTGATAACCTTCCTTTTTTAAAAAAAAAATTGCATCTTGGATATCTGGTGCTAGTTTAGAAGTGCCAATAAGATAAGTATTTTGTGGTCCACGAACTTTGTACTTTATATTGGTGACTTCCCTCCACTTTAATTCCTTTACACTTGTGCCAAGATCTAGCTTCTCAGATGCATACTCTTTAACTGCATTTACTATTGCAGGTGTAGGATAATTTTTTACCACCTTCTTTTCTACTAAAACTCTAACAGCCTGGGAATGTTTAAGCTTGTCACTTTCATTCAAATCATGCGCATAGTCCAAGGAACCTGGGAACCATTCAACACGCACTTTTTGCTTGACAACAAACCATGATACCTTTATTTTTGCATGGCATAAGTCTGCTTCTCAAACCTTGGTTTTCCGTCATTTTTCACTTGGAATGCCTTCTTTACGCGTACTTGATTCAAAGTGTTTGGCAAAGCGACATACAAAGGTTTTCCAAAGAATTCCCATTCACAAGAGTTTTATGACTAAATTTCACCCAAATGTTCGTAACTAAAGGCCACCATTCATCGTCGAATTCTGTCATCGGGACTTCGAATGGTTGTTGGACATTATAAAGTAATGTATATTTTTGATCACATATAAGACCCGCTATCGAGTCTATTACCATTGTGTTTGTGGGGGAGCTTTGCTGCGACAAGTCTACTGATTCAAAAATTTGTTGCAGAAATATCACGCTTATTCTTTGAGAGGTGTTTTCTTTGCCAGAGATATTCATTATCATTATCTGTTATTATTTGAAGGAAGTTCTTGCTATGATTTTTTTATTTTTTTTTTTTTATTTTAAATTTTTTATTTTAATTTTTTTTTTTATTTTAATTTTTTTTTTATT